GGAAAGTTATTAATGGTAAGACATGTTCAATTGGTCAGTGGTGTTAGATGAATTATTTGAAATGACATTACTTCTTTTTTACAAGGCATTGTATTATGTGAACAAACACTTTATACCAGCTTTTGACCACCAATTCTATCTTTAACTTTTCTAAATATATTTTTAAACTTTTTACATTAAGTTTTCTTAAAAAAGTACCAAAAGAATATTTAAAGTGAGATTCAAGATATCGTATGTTCCAATCGGACTATAATTATTTAGATTTTACTATAATTATTTTCAACCAAATTTTACTGTTATTTGATCTCAAGGTATGTTATAAGGTTAATGAACTTATCTTTGTCTCTACGTTATGAACCAAAAGGAGTTCAATTTTACAAGAATTCCAAAGGATCTTCCAAAATTTCAAAATCACAAGAATCCGGTTAGTATCACTTAGTACCGAAGATTGAAAAACCAAACCGGAGCAAAAGCTAATTCTGTCAATCTAAACCGTGAGACCTTAACATATCCATGCAACTCTTTGAAGTGCCTCTTGGATCATTCCTGTTGTGGCTACTTTTGTCCCTTTATGCTGCAACCAACATTGAACCATTACATCAAATTTCTGTTTACTAGTATTACGGTTAAGTAGTAACCTAAATTAGCCAGGGTTTAAGACTGTACCTTGCAGTTGACGGTTAAGCAGAGTAAGCCGTCTCCGGTTGAGGATTGTACCGAGTGAGAATCCAAGTTGAGATCACTTATCACATCCATTATCTCAAGCAATATCCCTTCTCTCCAAGCACATCTAAGCTCAATAACTACTTCGTTACCAAACGAACCGATCCTTAAATTATCGGTTAAACCAGGATAACCGGTATCAGCCGGTTCATCTTCGCCTACATTCACATCACTCTCCCTTCTCTTGTTGTTCATACAATTTGCTGATGCTTTTTCATCTTCATCCTCTGGTTTCTTCCTCTTCATTGTCGTCATTCGCATCTCTGTATCGGTAGATTCTTTGCAAGATTCCAATTCTTGAACCCGTCTTTGAAGTTCTTGAAGATACTCAATCGTATCATCAAGTATCGACACTTTATCGATCTGAAGAATCCGCGAGAGACTCAAGATTAGTATATTGAAAGCATAAATACATAACATTTTTTTGTGTGATCAAGAAGTTCAAAACCTTAGGTCCATAATCTCCCGAGACCGGGGAACAAATCATATTGAAGCAAAAATGTTGGATAAGGTTTACGGTTTACCTTACTAGTCGAAGGAATGAGTGATCTCAATGTCATGAACCGATCATTCAATTTCTCGCGGCGTTTCTTCTCGGACAAGGCGTGGTTCGCCGTTTCATCCCCGACCTTAATCTCGCTATCTTCAGGTGTGTCCGGTAACAATACTTCATTTTCTTTCATCCGAGGAACCTCGAAAATAATCTTCTTTAACATCTTCTGCGATTTCTCTCCCATTGTTCTTGCAAATGATGAGCGTTTCCACCGCGTGAAGCTTGACCGCTTATCGAAGTTTTGAAACTGCGGCCCAAGAATTAGTTGATGTGTCGTTTTGAAAATCGTCGAGATCACACTTTGGTAATGAACATCATCGTCCATATTTACACGGTTACTCTGTTCTTGGATCTGACCTAATTTTTGAACCCTACTTATTCTTGGATCACAAGCGATCCTCCCGGTTGTCCCAACAAGCGTCTGCGAGACGCAATCGCTTGAATTAAGCGATTGGTGAACGCAATTACTAAGTTCTTCACCAACAAATTGCCAGCTTTGCACCTGAGACGCACCACCACCATTGATGAACGAATCATGATCCTCAGGTTCTTGCTCAAATCCGCTTGTGGAAGTTGTCTGAAAAGCTTCAAATCCAAACACCGGGATATATTTGTCGTCGCTTAAAGGATCGAAAATTTCTTGATAATCGGATCTTGATGATATTGTAGCATATGTAGGTGGAGCTTCAAGAAACAATGTCTTCACGCGTTGTATCACGTTTAAGTCCTCTTTAATC